GGCAGCCAGTTTGGTGTAGTGGTTAGGAGAGCAGACTCTAATAGGCGAATCGGGTTTGATTACCCACTCCTCCACGTGCAGCTGCTGGTGTGACCTTGGGTCAATCACAAGTTCTCACAGAGCTGTTCTCTCACGGGCAGTTCTAGAAAGAGTTCTCTCAGGCCCACTTACCTCACAGGGTGTCTGTCATGGGGAGGGGGAGGGCAAGGAGACTGTAAGCTGCTCTGAGGCTCCCTCGGGTAGTGAAGGGCGGGGTATAAATCCAATCTCCTCCTCCTCTTCTTTTTCTTCTGGCCCTGAAGGACTTTCCACTGCTTTGGCTGCCTGTTTTGCACTGCAATAGTGGAGGGGAGATTGTCAAGCACCCGGCAGGCCTCCATGCATAGTGAGTGGGCTACATGTCCTCTCACTTGGCGCTAGGGTTGCCCGCCTCCAGGTGGGGCCTGGAGATCTCCCAGAATGACAACCAATCTCTGGATGAGAGATCAGGTTCCCTGGAGAAAGTGGCTGCTTTGGAACGTGGACGCTATGATATTGCACCCTGCCGAGGCCCCTCCCCTTCCCACATCTTAAGTCCTCCAAACTTTGCTACCGAATCTCCAGGGATTTCCTAACCCTGTTGGCAGCCCTACAAGGAAAGAGTCATTGAGGTGCCCTGAGACTGTGCCGCAGACCACGCTTCCAAAGGCAGTCTGTGGTCCCTGCCACACGGGGGGGGGGGAATGCGCGGGCATGCATTGGCGGGATCACACAGATCCCGTGAGCCGCCGCGCACTTGCTCCCCGGCACAATCAGATGCCGGGGAGACCGGGGAGAAAGCCACGAAACAGAGGGAGGCTGCCAAACTGCGCATGTGTGAGCATGCTCAGTTCGGCCAGGAGCCTCGGATGCGCCGGCAGAAGGACGCGCCGGCGATCCGCTTGACGCGGCCTTTCTGGTAAGTCCACCTCTACGGTGGTTCTTTTTTGCAGCGGGTTTTCGGCCTGAAGGGCCGGATCAGTGACGGGTGCGCGCCGCTTCCCAGATGTTGCGGTGAGATCGCGCCCATTTGCTGCACCCCCGATCCCTCCCTCTCCCGGCCCCAAACCTTCCGTGTGACCGGGGCCTGTGTTTGTTTAGCAGCGTGCCTTTTCACAGCTGTGTCCCCCGTTACTGTCGCCAAGGGCAGTGGAAGGATAGACAAGCCAAGGAAGGGATGTGAGAACGCTGAGGAGATGAGAGAACAGGTCAGTGGGCAAGAGTGTGCTGAAGGTTTGGGTTAATGCCCCGAGACACAGTGCCATAAAATGGGTCATTTCTGACCGTGCTCCATTTCCCTGTCTCATTGGCTGGGGGGCTGGGAGAACCACCTATGAGGTCTTTTGCTAGCCTGCTTTGAGACTCGGAGATGGGTCATTAGGCTCCAGGGAATGTGGTTAGTCTTGCTATTGGTTTAATAATAGAAGATTATGCACAGACTTCTCTTCTCTCCCCCCCCCCGGCCCCCGCATCCCTCATTCAGATTCTCGTCTGGCACACGAGGACGGAGAAACCGGTACTGGTGAATGAGGGGAAGAAAGGCTTCACAGATCCCAATGTGGAAATATGACATCGAGCAGCGAAGAGAGAGGTTAGCAGGTATGACTCAGCCAGGTCTTCTTAAGAGTGGAGAGAAAAAGCAAACTTGCCGCATGCAAAAGACAAAGCGGACGCCCAGGCTCCTCCCTTCGGGTGGTTTTGATTATTTTATACTTCCCGATTCCTTGGTCTCAGAATCAGAGCACTTTATTTTTGAAAGGTGCCTTTTTTAAAGAAAGAAAAACACTTGTGTCCAGCTGAAAATAACTTGTCGCAGCAGTGCCGAGTGTCGTATTTTGAAATGGAGCTGTGATTCTTGCCACCCAAGTACCCGCAGATAGGTCCAGCTAAAATGCTTTTCTCACATATATAAAAGCTATTTGGGATCTAAAGGTCCCTCATGCACTCGGAGAAAGAAGGTTCTCACTCCAAATCCAGCCACGGTTGGAGCTGTTACAAAACCAGTTATGTTTCTCCCCTGCGCATTACAAGAAAAAGACCCTGCATCGACATACGTGGCCCTTTAAAGAGGGAGCACAGTGGAATCTTGGGTTGGAACTAGGTCTGCCAACCTCCAGGTTGGGCCTGGAGTTCTCCTAGAACAGGGGTGGCCAAACTGTGGTTCAGGAGCCACATGTGGCTCTTTCACACATATTGTGCGGCTCCTGGCAGGAAAAGCTGGGGAAGTGAAGGGGAGGCATGCTTTTTCTCCTTCCCGTCTATTTGCTTTGTTTCTCTCTCTCTCTTTCTTTCCACCTTTTTCTTTCTTTCTTTCCTTCCACCTCTCTCTTTTTCTCTCTCTTATACGAATAAATACCATTCGCAAACAAATAAATATCATTACCAATATCTGTTTTTACCCCTTTTGTTTTTATTTTTGGCAGCCTCATGTTAATAAAAAAAGCAAATGTGCATAGTTGGTCATGTTTTGCGGCTCTCAGACATCTCACATTTATTCTATGTGGCTCTTACGCTGAACAAGCTTGGCCATCCCCTTCCTAGAATTACAACTGACCCCCAGACTAGAGATCTGTTCTCCTGGAGAAAATGGCTGCTATAATACCATGGCATTTACCCTAGTGAAGTCCTTCCCCATCCCAAACCCCGCCCTCCCCAGGCTCCAACCCCAAATCTCCAGGAATTTCCCAACCCAGAGTTGGCAACCCTAGTTAGAACCCAAACAGCAGCATCCTGCCGTAAACCCAGCAAATGCAGGACGACTAAGTTGCTGTTTTAATTTGCAGCATATTCCCTTTTGCGGAGTCTCGAGCCAGCCGCGTGGTCTCCAGGACTGGTCCAGATACTTTGAAGACATCCAGAGCGACCGAGGGGGGGACTGATCCAACCAATCCAGACTCCTCAGACTCTCCTGAACTTCCTCGCACACTCTGAACAAAGCTGGAAAACACCGTAACTGACCCGCTGGAGACGACAAACCAGTGACATACAAAACAAAACAAAACAAAAGCACAGAAGCCCCGGAGCTGGCGTCACTTTTGGTTCGAGGTGAGGAGCCTCACGGGATGCAGCGAGTGGAAAGTGCACGGGGTGCACGTGGAAGGAAGCATGCCTGGAAAGCCCCCTTTGGAAGCCAAGATTCCGACCAAGGGGCTTCCGCGGGACATTGATAAGGACAATGGTTCCCATTTTGGACCCTGACAACATCCTTCCCTCTCTCTCAAGGGACACAAATCACTTGGGCATGACTAGCAAGAGCAGCTCTCCAGCTGCAGAGGAGAAGCCGTGTTCAGCAGTGGCACCGTTGCTCTTAAATTATATTTATTTCGCCGCAAAAAAGGGGGGAGAGGTGATGGGGCGGCCTGGAGAGGGAGGGGGGAGAGAAAAAGACCGGCAGTTGCCAAGTTAGCGAATAACCACCTCTGTCGCTTTCCTGCAGTCGGTACCTCTTTCATCAGCTCCAGGGAGACGAGGAAGGAGGTTGTGCAGTTTGAAATGTTTTTAGCACTCACACAAAGGTGTTTCTTACTCCTACCCTCTGTTTAAACCATAGCTTTGACCCTTCCGAGACAGGCCTTTCCCAAGCTGCATGTGTTGCTTCAGAGAGCGGGGGTTTCCAATGCGTGCCTCCCTCAGCAAGGTTTGAAGGCTTTC